GACCCCTTCTAAACCCAGCCTGGACTTCTGGCAGTTCTCTGCTGATGTGCTGTTCCAATCGTTTTTGGATAATCTTCAGTAGAATCATGCTTCCATGTGAAATCAGTGGTACTGTTCTATAGTTTCCACACTCTGTTCGGATGGCAACAAATATAGATCTCTTGCAGTCAGTTGGCCAAATGGTTGTTTTCCAAATTTATTGGCACATTTTGGTGAGCACATCCAGGGCAGCATGTTTTAGCTGAAATATGTCAATTGGTATAACATCTATTCCTGGGGACTTATTTTTGGCCATTTGCTTCAAATCAGCCTGAACTTCTTCCTTCATCACCATAGGCTCTTGCTCATATGTTGTTTCATGAAATTCTTCTGTGTCTGCCAATTCCTATTGATACAGTGACTCAGTATATTCTTTCCATCTTCTTTTACTACTTCCTGGATCATTTAATATTCTTCCTAAAGCTTCCTTGATGATAGCAACTCAAGGTTTGAATTTGTTTTTCAGTTCCTCATGCTTAAACTACAGGAAGAAATAATTTTAAAAAGATAACTTTACCGTAATAAAAAACTAAGCATAATGGGGCACAGATGTAATGTGAAAAGGAAAATATTATAGAATTTTTGCTTTGAAACTTATTTACTGGTACAGTCTGCAAACATATCAATCAAGATTTGTGTTCTAACAAAGGTCTGAATGAGAATTTAGGAAGGTCTCTATATTGAAGAATTATAAAATCGGCTTAAGGCAAATTTTCAGCCTTTTTCCTGAAGCTTTTTGTTTTCTTTGTTTTTAGAGGGGCTTGTAACATGTTCTATTGTTTATGCTTCTTTTTGAAAACTTTTTGTTCTCAAATGTAGTTCTTCCTTTTTAATAACAGTAATAAATATAATTTCAGAATCAAAAGAGTTGCATGAACTAAAGGTTCCAGAAAGTGCCCAGAAACAGTGGAAATCTAAGAGAAAGCCAGAAGGCTTAAGTAGAAATCTTGCTGCAGCTTCTAGTCAGTGTCAGATTCCAGAGATAAACAGAAAGGTGGATACAGAGGTAAGTTCATTCCCTTCATGTGTAACATTCTTCTTGTTTCTAGGTTACTTCTAAAGTATAATGGTCATATTGAGTATTTTTTCTTTTATTAAATGAACCTTAATTTATACCTTATTTAATTTTGAAAGGACCTAATACAAAAGGACAATCTGTAATAATCATAGGTTTAATAAGAGTTATGTCAAGCCATTTTCCTTTATATATTTAAAAATGTTTCTGGGTTACTAAGAACCTCTGGTGACCTAGTATATAAGGAGTTGCACTGCCAACCTGTTGTTGTTATGTGCCGTTGAGTTGCTTGCTACTCATAGCGACCCTATGTACAACAGCCCTAAACTCTGCTCTGTGCTGTACCAATTGCACTGTCTCCAATACAACTGTCCTGATTACCCCAGTAAATGAATCAAGCCACATCATAGAGGGCTATCCCCTCCTGCGCTGTCCCTCCACCCTCCCAAGCATGATGTCCCTCTCCAAGGACCGGTCCCTCCTTACACCATGTCCAAAGTATGTTAGATGGAGCCTCAGAATCCTTGCCTCCAAGGAGCTGCCTGGTTTGACCCTTTCCAGGATAAATCTGTTTGATTACCTGGCAGTCATGGTACCTTCAATACTCTTCTACAGCTCAAAGGCATCAATTCTCCTTCTATCCTCCTTAGTCATTTTCCAACTCTGTGATGCATAACAAGTGATTGCAAAGACCATCGCCTGTATCAGACACACCTTAGTCTCTAGAGACACACCATTGCTCTTCAGTACTTTGGAGTGGTCCCTAACATCAGACTTTCCCATGGCAATACGTCTTTTAATTTCCTGGCTACTGGTGCCAAGAGTGTTGACTGTGGAGCCAAGCAAACTAAAGCTGTGAACAATCTCAGTCTCTTCACCATCCATCCTGATGCTGCCATTTGGTACAGTGGTGAGGATCTTTGTCTTCTTGACATTGAGCCTCAGTCCATATTAGAGGCTGCAATCCTTGACCCTCTGAAGCAAGCACTTCAGGTCCTCCTCACTTGCAGCAAGCAGGGTTGTGTCATCTGTATATCATAGATTGTTGATAGATCTTCCACCAATCCTGACCCCACATTTCTCCTCATAGAGCCCAGCCTCCAGGATAATCTTTTTTGCATACAGGTTGAAAAGGTATGGAGACAGGACACATCCCTGGTATACGCCCTTCCCAATTTTGAACCAGGCACTGTTTCCTTGTTCTGTTCTGACGGCTGCTTCTTGGTCCAAGTATAGCTTTCTTATTAGCACGATCATGTGTTCTGGTATTCCCATTCTTCTCAGAGTCAGCAACAGTTTGTTACAGTTCATACAGTCAAACGCCTTTTTATAGTCAGTGAAACACAGATATACATTCCTCTGGTATTCCCTTATTTCAGCCAACATCCATCTAACATTAGCTACAATATCCCTAGTACCACGACCCCTTCTGAACCCAGCCTGGACTTCTCGCAGTTCTCTGCTGATGTGTTGTTCTCTGTCGTTTTTGGATAATCTTGAGTAGACTCTTGCTTTCATGTGAAATCAGTGATACTGTTCTATAGTTTCCACACTCTGTTGGGTCACCCTTCTTTGGGGTGGGAGCAAATATAGATCTCTTCTACCCTCCGGCCAACTGCCAACTTAGAGCTGAGCAATTAAAAGCAACCAGTAGCTCCATGAGAGAAAGATAGGCAGTGTCCTTTCATGCAATTTATGTCCTCTGAGGATACACTGCAAAGTCAGTTATGAGTCAGTTCCAACTTAACAGCAATCTATGCATACTAGGGGTTGGCAAACTGCAGCTTGTGGGCCAAATGTAGTCCACTGCATTATGTTTAGCAATAGCTGTGGTCTTTTGTTTACTTATTTTCTGTTGCTGCATTTTATTGGGAAAGTTTAGAGACTGTTAATCAATATAAAATTTCTGAGCCAGTAAACAAGAACATAATAAAAATGGGGAAAGATAGCTGTTGTCAAAGAATTGATTCCCTCAAGGCACAATCCTCACCTATTGTAGCAGCAGTAAAGAAATACAACACCATGTTTTTGTTATGTGCTGTTGAATTGGCTTTGGCTATAAATCATATGGGAGTAAATTGCTTGGCAAATCTGCTGCCAAGAACCTCTTTAAATTGTTTTAAGAGTGAGGTGTCCCTTTAAAGACTGAATTACACCTAACCCAAGCCATAGTATTGTTTCATATCTATCTGAAGGTTGGTCATTGAATAAGAAAACTTTATGCCTTTGTATTTTGCTATTGGGACAAGTTTTTAATATAAAACGGACTCCCAGTCTCGGAATGGCATAGCATAGGGCAGGCTTCAGATCTGTTGTTCATAGGATCGCTATGAGTTATACCCGACTTGACAGAATATAACAGCAACAACATGGACTGCCAGTGAACAAATCTGCTTTGAAAAAAGTACAGCCAGAGCATGTCTTAGATGCAAGATTCATGAGACTCCGTTTCACATGTTTTGGGCATATTATCAAGGAGGGACCAGTCTAAGAGAAAGTCATGGTTGGTAAAGAAGAGGTTTCAGCAGAAAAGAACTTCTCAGCAAGAGTGATGACACAGTGACTCGAACAATGGACTGTGCACAGCAGATTGTGTTGTAGGGATGGTCCATGCTCAAGCAGGGTTTTGTTCTATTGTTTGTATGGTCACTGTGGATGGGAACCAATCTTAGGGCACCTAACAATGTTGCTGCTTATATACAACCACAGAATTGAGAAGTTAAAATGGAGATTAATGTCTGGCAGTGCCTAAATTGTTTATGCTGTTTAACAGAAAAAATTAATGCTGACTCTCAAATTAATCAAGTGCTATAACAACGCATTTAACAATTTGTTGTCGTCATCCTCATGAATAAAACCGGAAACGTTGTTGTTACTAGGTGTCCTCACGTCCAGTACAACTTACAGCAATCATATGAATAACATGATCATGCTATTCCACATGGTGCTTTCTGCTGCCACTGTAGCAGCCCGGCCCTTCTCTGAAGAACATAGCCCTCCTAGGCCCAGGGGTATTGAAAGCCACAAAGATCTTTCACAAAGGACAGCCAAGTCTTGCCTTGCCTCCACCTCTTCCTGAGCATAGAAGAAAAGTTCCCTGAGGAATTCTTCCAGTTTCTTTATCCTAACACTGGTTTCAGAGGAACTGGGCTTACCTTGTGTTTTCTATCCAAAGAAATATATGTGGTCACACCAGAAACCTTCTCCACCATAGCAACAGTCGGGTTACTCATCTATGTGGTTGAAAAAAATGGTACCTCTGTTGAACAGTTGGTGCTAATACACTTAATGAGCAAAAAATTGGACAACTAAAAGGTGAAGCTGACTTCCATAAAATACATCCAAGATGCAATTGATTCAGAAAAGGCACAGCAGGCACTGGTTCAGAAATTCCATTCCCATTTTCAAAGGAAAAACATTGCTGTGGCCATGAAAGTTAAATACTGGGAACTGCTACATTAAGTGTACAAGGAAGTAAAGAATCGTCTGGACTATCCTATGTCTGCAAAATATGACACGTAGAAAGAAACAAGAGCACATAACTGGGTGGAGAAGATGTGCAGAGCTGCTTCACACAACAGGAAAAGGAGACAGTTGTCAAGCATATTCACTATCTAAAGCTACTGCAAGGAGTCTTAAGCCCAGCCAGTTAGGTAGATCTTTCAATTCCTAGTGAGGCAGCTGCATACAGTTGACTTAACTAAATGGAAAATTGTCTATGTGACAAAAATCATTCTTTGTATCATGTTTATGTCTTAACAGTAACAGTTTTAACTAAAGCTGAAGTATTACTTTGTTACATTGAGAATAAAACACACTTATTGGCCAATTTAAAAAAATAAAACAGAGCAAAAAACACATATCTTAATCTGGTTCTATCCTGTGCTATCCTTACCATATCTGATATACTTGAGCCCGTTGCTGCAGTCATTGTGTCAAGACATCTCATTGTGCATCTTTCTCTTTAGCTGACCTTCCACCTTTCCAAGCATGATACCACTTTATAAGGCATATTAATTCCTGCCTGATGTTCTACTTTATGGGTTCTGGGGAGGCTGTTACATTGGAGATAATTGTGCCCTTAATATAGGTCAAAGTATGGGGAGGCTTCCAGAAATCTGGCTAGATGGTCTGGTGTCATACTTCTGGGTTGCCAGATAAAGCCTAGTTCAGGTGAGAAGTGGACTTTCTGAGAAGCACCACCAGCTTCTGGGAGAACTTCTTCATCTTTTTGTATATTGACTCCATCACAGGGTTCCTGGCCCATGACTTCTGAATACCTTGTCATGCACTTTTAGAATTCAGAGGCAAAGTGAGTCATCTGCGAAGATATTTAGCTACTTCCCCAGGCAGGTGGTGGCTGCGTTCAGGAGGAAAGGATCATGTTTACGATACAGATTTTGCCTCCTTTAGCATGTCTTTGAAGATCTTTCAACAACAACCACAATGATGTTGGCTGCAGCAGTGACGAGATCATCAGCAGGAGCAGCATCCCTGAGGTGGACATGGTTCATTCTACTCTCACATGGCCAAGCACCATGCCAGACTTCATTTTGGCCAGCCTCACTTAGAAGTCTGTAACACGCTGGGACTGCTGACCCAGGGAATCCTTAAACAAGCTTTGTCTCTGCATCTCATCTCCAGACTGGAACTGGGCAGTTCACATGCTGAATGTTCCTTATGGTCCTTTCTTTGCTGCATTTTAGGGCTTATTATAGATGAGAATCCCTGCATAAAACTGGAACAGGATCCACATCTCACAGTACACACAAAAATCAACTCAATGTGGATCAGATAGGCAATAATCATGGTAGATAGAGAAAAGATGGAAATTGATAATGATTTCATCTTGCTTGGATCCACAGTCAACATCATTTGTACCAACAGCCAGGAGACCTGGTTGTCAGTGGCTGAAGAGTCTGAAGATTGACGTGTCTGATACACTGTGGAGGCTGTGATATGGGTCCAGGCATGGGAAGCTTCCAGAACCCTGGCTGAACCGTTAGCTGGATAGTGGTTACAGGGCTTTTGTGGGGGGTGAAAACCAACTTTCAGAGGTGAATCTTCATGTGGAGCAGAGGTGTTTTCTGAAGGGATGTCCCACTTGCATCTGGAGCACATTCTGGAGGTGCCAGTGGATCCAGGTGGGCATGCCAAGAGGACAGGCAGCCTCTCAGATGGAGGGAGAACACAGCCATCCCCCCTTGGCAGGAGCTCTCATTGCCAAAGCAAACTGCAGCCCAGGGACGTGAGCCCTGTTTGAAGAGCTAGAAAAATTCTTACCCTGTGAGGTCCAGCCACTATGTTTGTTCTAGGTTGGTTCCTTCCCCTCACCGGGCTTCAGCTTCTCAACTGTGCAGTGGTCATTGGAGCTGTGTAAGGAAATGCTTAGCAGAAGCCAGAGCCAAGTCTTCTCTCCACAATAGGTCCAGGTGGGTGGGGGACCACAGAGTTCCATCCTGGGGGAGCACAAGCTCTCAGTATACCTGGACCAAGGAGAGGGCCACTGGTATGGGGCAGGAACCCCTACCCGAAATTGCTGCCAAGTGCAGGTGTTTGGCCTCAGACAAGGCACATGAACCCTACCTCCATCTTTTTGATGTTTCCTGGATTATTGAGTACTCTGACCATGGCATCTCTTGAGTATTGCAACTCAAAACTTAAATTTATTTTTCAGTTCTTTTGGCTTGAGAAATGCTGAGGCAGCTCTTCCTTTTTTATATTTTGACTCTAGCTCTTTGCACATTTCATTATAATCACTTGCTTTATCTTCTCAAGCTGCCCCATGATATCTTCTGTTCAGCTCCTTTACTTCATCATCTCTTTGCTTTGGTTTGGCTTCTGGACCCTCAAAGATAATTTTCATAGTTTCTTCTTACATCCCTTTTGGCTTTTTCTTCTCTGTTTTTTGAATGACCTTTTGCTCTCTTCATGAATGATTTCCTTTATTTCATTCCACAGCTCCTCTGGTCTTTGATCATTGGTATTCTATGCCTCAGAATTATGTTTGTTCTTATGGATTTTTTAAATCTTCCTTAGTTTCATTTTGAACTTGCATATGAGTAATAATAGGTGGCCTCTTCTACAATCAACACCTAAGTTGGTCCTGACTTCTAATATTGAACTTCTCCAATGATTTTTCCACAGACGTAATCAGTCTTATTTTTGTACATTTTGTCCATATGTAAACTCACCTTTTATGTTTTTTAAAAGTTTTGTTATGAATAAATCATGAACATACCAAATTCAGTTATTCACTCTATGACCTCAGTTCTTCCACTAAATCCATACTTTACTATTACCATTCCATTTTGTTTCCATATTTTACATTCCAAACCCCCATAATAACTAATGCATCTTGATTGCATGTTTGATCAATTTTGGACTGCAAATGTTGGTAGAAATCCTCAATTTTTTCCTCTTTGGCTTTAGTAGTTGGTGCATATATTTAAGAATAGTTGAATTAGCAGGTCTTCTTTATATACAAAAGGATAGTATGTTATCACTGATGGTATTGTACTTTAAAATAGTCTTTGAAATTGCCCTTTTAATTATGAATGCAAACCATCCTTCCTCAGTTTTTCGCTCTCAGCATAATAGATCATTTGATTCAGAGTGGCCCATGTCAGTCCATTCCATTTCACTAATGCTTAGAATGTTGCGTTTCATGCATTCCATTTTATTTTTTACAACTATCAGTTTGCCTATATTTACATGTTTCAATTATTAATGGTTGTTTGCAACTGTTTCTACTTATAATTGAGTGGCTTTTCATCTGAACTCTGTTTCTACTCAGCAATTATACCTACCTGCTTTTCTTTGTTGTTCCTAAGGTTTTAAAAGGCCTGTTATTTTAGAGAAATACATAGCCAGTCCTGCTTCCTAGGCACTCTTAATCGAGGAGTCACACTGCACCTTTCCATCTTGGGTGACCATTTCAGCAATGTGTGTGTCTATAACAGTTTGACAGTAACTAGGAGACATTTCAGAAAGAAATAATGTAGAAAACTGTCAAGGTGTTGTACCTAACCTATGACCATCTCTTGCTCACTATTTCTTCTAAGTGCTTTTGTTACAAGGATGGCAAAGGCCTTTTTTTTTAAATTTAAGAGTTCTCAAATATTTTTTTTTCCTGTGGGACCCTTTATACTATTGCATGTTACAGAGGTCCTCTAAGACCTTTTGTATTAGTACTCAACATTGTATTTGTAGTTCTTGTATCTGAAGATACTGAAATTGTTTACTTCTTAAAAATTGTAATGTATTTATCCCATGAGATTTATGAAAAGTAAGTTTTTTAAAAATAATATAATGAGAAGAATCATTATAGTTTTTTTGCACATGTCTATGGGAGAGAGGAAATTGATTTCTTTTTATTATGGACATTTTCAGTCATACACAAGGTATAATAAGCCGCTCTGATTCTATCACCGTGCTTCTATAACTACCAACTTTCTGTTGCTATTCTGGATCTTCCCAACATTATATTTTTCTTTTTTCTTTTAATGAAAGTTTACAGAGACTTTGGATTTCCATTCATTCATTGTTTCACACAGTATGCTTTTTCTTTGAAAAGTAAAAAAAGAATAAAAATTATTTCATTGTTACACAATGCCCCCTGCCCTTCAGTCCACTCCACTATGCAGCTTTCATTCTGGATTCTTGTCATGACAATAATACCTAATCATATATTCCTCCTAAACAGTTCAATGCAGTATACATTATTTAGCCTCTCTTACTTCCCCCCAAACTCCGATGTCAGTCCTGATTTACAGCAGTGGCACTATGCAGTATTTGTCCTTTTGTGACTGAGATATTTCACTCAGCATAATGTCCTCCAGGGACACCCATCTTGTATAATATTTCATGAGTTCCTTGTTTTTCAATGCAGCATAGTATTCCATTGTGTGAATGAATGTATTGGAGCTTTGTTGATGGGCACTTGGGTTGTTTCCAGCTCTTAGCTATTGTGAACAAAGCCGCAATAAACATGGGTGTGCATATATCTGCTTGGGTGTCAGTTATGGGTTCTTTAGGGTATATTACCAATAGTGGAATTGCTGAGTCAAAAGGTATTTCTATTTGCAAATTTTTGAGAAAGTACCATATAGCCTTCCATAGTGGTTCCACCAGTTTACACTCCCAACAAGTGAATAAGAGTTCCAGTATCTCCACAACCTCACCAGCATTTTTTTGTTTGTTGTTCTGTTAAATTTTGCTATTCTTACTGGGGTGAGATGATAGCTCATAGTTGTTTTGATTTGCAACTCTCTTAGAGCTAGGGATTTTGAACATTTCTTCGTGTGTTTGTTTGCCATCTGAATGTCTTCTTTGGTGAAGTGTCTGTTCATAATCTGTGCACGTTTTTCAGTTGGGTTGCTTACCTTTATCTTGTTGTGGTGCTTGAGTGTTTTACAAATTCTACATATAAGTCCATTATCTGATGTGTCATTACCAAATACTTTTTCCCAGTCTGTGGCTTCCCTTTTTGCCTGGTTGGAGACATTTTTGGATGTGCATAAGGATTTGATGCTTAGAAGGTCCCATTCATCTATTTTATCCTGTCCTGGTTGTAGATTTTTCAGGATTCTTGGAAGACTGTTTCTGTTGTGGATTAGGACTTCTACAGTTCTCCAAAGATTTTCTTTAATGAAATATATAGTCCTTGGTTTTAGTCCTATATCCATGATCCACTTTGAGTTGGTTTTTGTGTATGGAGAGAGGTCTGGATCTTCCTTGAGTTTTCTACGGATAATTTTCCATTTTTGCCAGCACAATTTGTTAAAAAGGCTGTCATTTCCCCACTTAACTGATTTCATCTCCTTGTCAAAAATCAGTTCAACACAGGTAGATGGGCTGATTACTGGATCCTGAATTCTATTCCATTGATCTATGTGTTTGTCATTGTGCCAGTACCATGCTGTCTTGACCGCCATGGCTGTGTAGTAGAATTTGAAATCAGGGAGTGAGATGCCTGCTACCTTGCTTCTCTTTTTAAGGAGTGCTTTGCTTATTTGGGGGTCCTCTTTCCATTCCAAATGAAATTGGAGATTGCCTTTCTCATCTCATTGAAGAATGGAATTGGCATTTGTATTGAGATTGCATTGAATGTGTAAATTGCCTTTGGTATTATTGCCATTTTCACAATATTGAGTTTTCCTATCCATGAGTAAAGGATATTCTTCCACTTCTCCAGGTATCTTTTTGTTTCTTGTAGTAATGTTTCGTAATTTTCCATTTCCAAAATGACTTGCCTCTGGAAACTATGTACAAACAGTGCTCAGGCCTTTTGTTCATAGGGTGGCTATGAGTTGTCTGTGACTCGAGGGCACCTGACAACAACAAAGTCCCTTGTGCTCTTGGTTAGATTTACTCTCAAGTATTTAATCTTGTGATTAGCTATTGTGAAGGGTATTGTTTTTCTTAGCTCCAGTTCTATATTCTCTTTGTTACTGTAGAGAAATCCAATTGATTTTGTATGTTGGTTTTGCTCAACTGGTCAACTATGTCCAGTAGTTTTCTTGCTGAGTCTTTAGGGTTTTCTAGGTATACTATCATATCATCTGCATATAGAGATAATTTTAACTCCTCTTTACCAATTTGGATACCTCTTATTTCCTTCTGTTATAGCTATCCCTAAGACTTCTAATACAGTATTGAATAGGTTATAGAGGTCATGCTTGCTTAGTTCCTGTTCTCAAAGGGAATGCCTTTACTCTCTCTCCATTGAGAACAATGTTGGCTTTTGGGTTTGTGTATATACTTTTTATTATGTTAAAGAAATTCCCCTCTAATCCTATTTTGTTGAGTGTTTTAATCAGGAAAGGGTCTTGGATTTTGTCAAAGGCCTTTTTTTACATCAATTGATAGGATCATGTGGTTCTTGTTCTTTGCTTTGGTAATGTGATGAATGACATTGATTGTTTTTTTTAAGTTGAACCATCCTTGCATACCTGTTATGAATCCTGCTTGGTCATGGTGAATTATTTATTTGATGTATCATTTTATTCTATTGGCCAGGATTTTAGTCAGGATTTTTGCATCTATGTTCATGAGAGATATTGGCCTATATAGTTTTCTATTTTGGTGGTATCTTACCTGGCTTTGGAGTCTAGGATATGTTTGCTTCATAGAATGGGTCTGGGAGAATTCCATCTTTTTGTGTTTTCTAAAATAGTTTATGTAGAATAGGTGACAGTTCTTTTCTATATTTTTGATAAAATTCACTTGTAAAACCATCTGATCCAGAGCTGGTTTGGGCTGGAAGTTGTTTTATTACCTTTTCAATTTCTTCTTTTGTTGTGGGTCTGTTCGGTTGTTTAATTTCAGTTTGGTAGGTTGTGAATTTTTAAGTATTTGTCCATTTCCTCTAGGTTTTCATATTTGTTTGAGTATAGTTTTTCCCAATATTCTAATGTTAACCTTTTTATTTAGTTGATTCTATTGTGATGTTGCCTTTTTCATCTCTTATTCGGATTATTTTTGTCTTTTCCTTTGTTCTGCTAGTGGTTTGTCGATTTTACTGACCTTTTCGAAGAAGCTTTCAATTTTTTTAATGTTTCTATTTCATTTATTTCTGCTCTAATTTTTATAATTTCAGGTTTTTTAGAGGTTGTCGGATTTTCTTGTTACTCTTTTTCAATTTGTTGGAGGTTTCGGATTAGAGAGTTATTTTTTCCAGCCTTTTGATGTGTTTGCTAATTGCTACAAATTCACCTCTGATTACTACTTTGACTGTTTCCCAGAGGTTTTGGTAGGTGATGTTTTGATTGTCATTTGTTTCAACAAACTTTTTTATTTTTTATTTCTTCTAGTACCCACTTCTGTTCAAGCAAAGTGTTATTTAGCTTCCAAATGTATGATTTTTTCCTCCTTTATCTTCTTGTTATTAATTTCTAATTTTGTATATTGTGAGATACTTTGTATTATTTCTATGCTTTTTAATTTATTGATGCTTGCCTTGTGACCTAAAATGTGATCTTTTCTGGAGAAGGTTCTATGCACTTTGGAGAAGATGATGTACTGTGCTTTTTGGGTGTGCATTATGTTATAAATACCTATGCGATAAGTTGATTTATTGTGTGGTTTAATTCTTGAGCATCTTTGTTGAGTTTTTTCTGGTAGTTCTGTCTTTTCTTGAAAGGGGTGTATTCAAGTCTCCAACTACTATAGTAGTGTTGTCTGTTTCCTTTTTCAGTTAATGTTTTATATATTTTTCAGGTCTTTCATTTGGTGCATAGATATTTTTTATTGTTACGTGCTTTTATTCTATTCACCCTTTAATCATTATGTAGTGACCCTCGTCCTTTGTGATGATTTTTCATTGAAATTTATTTTATCAGAGATTAATATCGCTACTCCTGCTTTTTTTCTGGTTACCATTTGCTTGATATATTTTTTTCCACCCTTTTCTTTTTAGTCTTTCTTTATCTTCATTTTTCATATGTGTCTCTTGTAGACAACATATTGA